CTACTACTACTGACTCCATATTCTAATATTGAAGTGAAAATTTATAGCAATAATAGTGAGGTCACAAAAATATTATAAACAATTATAGAAACAGCGACTTACATGCATGTTAATTACGCGTTACACTGAGGTAAACTTTATACAGATTCATTTGCGCCATCTATCGCCAGTCCGAGCTTGTATTCTTTATACAATTCATATCAGGACCTCCAGACTATCTCTGTGCCTCTACTAAACAAAACGCGTAACTCGAAGTAACATTATTCGTTTTACGCTACATTTTTGTATTCACACACTTAAACTTAAAAATGTAAAGTAATAATAAAATTATTTAAAAGAGCAACAGGCAAATTTCTTTCTCGTTCTTCTTGTGATGAGACATCTTTCCAAGCGGTAGATTAAAAAAATGTAATGACTATTCAAAAGTGCTTCAATGTAAGTTTATTTATTTATAATTAAAGTTATTTTTTAATTAGCCGAGTTATATTTCTAAAATTCTGTTTTTCTTTTTAGTGCGTCATAAGATTTAAATCGTTTTGGAATAATTTTCCATTTTCACATAACAATTACATTTATTAAATAATTTCAATTAATTATTTTCAAAATTACAAGTTCTACACAAAACAGGGATAATTTCATTAGAAAATATAAACAATACAATTTTTGTTTAAATAAAAAATAGCTCTTCAGTTCCCCTGATATGTAGAAATTTTGAATTAAATCCCTTCTCTTGACAATAACAATTATATAAACAGCGATCTAGACGCATTTTAATTATGCGCTGTACTGAGGTAATCTATACAGATACATTTCGCGAATAGCAACTTACCGGTTTATTATACAGATTCATTTCCGCGAGTAGCAACTTACTAATCAGCGCCATCTATCGCCAGTCCGAGCTTGTATTGTTTATACGATTCAGGGAACCTCGAGACTATCTCTGTGCCTCTAGTAACAAAACGCGTAACTCGAAGTACGAATACAGCATTATTCGTTTTACGCTACTTCTTTTCTTACCTTAAAAACACATAAAAATGAACGAAATATTTGTTTAATATAACATATATTAAGGTAAGGTTTTTGTTTTAATTAGCAAATATATATTTCTTAAATTCGGTTTCTCTTCAATAGTACGTAATAAGTTATAAATCGAGTTAGAAACAATTTCAGTTTGCATTTCTTAATTTCAATTAATCATTTCTAACATTAAGTTATAAACAAAAAAATATAAGTTTATTAAAAGATATACGCAGTATATTTGTTGAAATTAAAATAGCTCTTTTAACAATTTCTATATAATAGAGAAATGTTATATAGAAATTTTCAATTAAATCCTCACAGAACTGTAGCCTAACAACTCTACATACATATATTAGAAATGTGAAAATTCCTAAGGATAAAAGTGAGGTCACAAACTATTATTAACAATTATGAAAACAGCGACCTACACGAATGTTAATTACGCGCTACACTGAGGGAAACTTACTACAGATTTATTTGCGTGAGTAGCAGTTTACCAATCAGCGCCATCCAGCGCCAGTCCGAGCTTGAATTCTTTATACGATTCAAAAGACCTCGAGAATATCTCTGTGCCTCTAGACAGAAATCGCGTAACTCGAAGTATAGTATTATAAGTTTTACGCTCCTTCTTTTCTTAACTTAAAACAATGCAGATATCAAACGTCTGCAATTAACAAAATATTTCCTTAATATAATATATATTAAAGTAAAAGTGTTTTTTTAATTAGCAATGATATAGTTCCCAAATTTAATTTATCTTTAATAGTACGATCATCTTAGAATATTTTACCATTTTCACATAATTATATAATTTCTTAATTTCAAGCTGTAAACAAAATTTAATAAAGTCATTAGAAAATTTACACAGTAAAATTTTTCTTTTTAAATAAAATAGTTCTCTAATTCCCTGATATGTAGAATTTTTTTATTAAATCCTTTCTCGCAGAACTGTAGTCCAACAACTCTACATACTAATATTAGAAATGTGAAAATTCCTAGTAATAATAGCGTGGTCACAAACTGTCATTAACAATTATATAAACAGCGACCTACACGCCTGTTAATTATGTGCTATACTCAGGTAAACTTATACAGATTCGTTTGCGCCATCTAGTGGCAGTCCGAGCTTGTATTATTTATACGATTCAGAGAACCTCGAAACTAACAGAGATAGTTAACTCTACTAAGGATAGGCTCTACTAAGAAAACGCGTAACTCGAAGTATAGCATTATTCGTGTTACGCTACTCCTTTTCTTACCTTAAAAAACGCGAGATATCACACGTCTGCAATTAAAAAAATATTCTAAACAAATTTAAAATATTATATTTTATAATTCTTTAATTTAAAATATATTCTAAACAAAAAATGATAATATCATTAGAAAATTTGCGCAGTTTAATTTTTTCTTTTTAAATAAAATAGTTCTTTAGTATATCTGATATGTAGTAATTATTAATTAAATCCATTCTCACTGAACTGTAGGCTATCAACTCTACACTCTAAAATTACAAATGTGAAAATTTCTAGCAATAATAGTGAGGTCACAAACTATTATTAACAATTATATAAAGACGACCTACACGAATGTTAATTACGCGCTACACTGAGGGAAACTTACTACAGATTTATTTGCGTGAGTAGCAGTTTACCAATCAGCGCCATCCAGCGCCAGTCCGAGCTTATATTCTATATACTATACAGAAGACCTCGAGACAACGCGTAACTCGAAGCTCAAAGTTTGACATTACTCGTTTTACGCTAATCCCACTGTAAACAGAGCATATGTTATGAGTATTCGAAAAATGTTATAAATACTTAAATATATATTTTTCTGTAAATACAGACGTAATATACATAGTAAACATCCAGATCGAAACAAACAATAATACTGCTATGTAGTAATTTTGAATTTAATTCCTTTCTCACAGAACTGTAGCCTAACAACTCTACATTCTAATATTAAAATTGAGAAAAATTACAAGCTATTATTAGCAATTATAGAAATATCTACACGCATATATATATATATTATACAGATTTATTTACGCGAGTAGCAACTTACCGATCCGCGCCATCTAGCGCCAGTCCGAGCTTGTATTCTTTATACGATTCAGAGGACCTCGAGACTATCTCTGTGCCTCTAGTAACACAACGCGTAACTCGAAGTATAATTCGTTTTACGCTACTTCTTCTTTGCCTTAACTTCATGTAGAATATGCTATGACGACAATTATAAAATAACAACTTTAACACGTACAAAGTACTTATGTTCATAACATTATGAAACAATTTTACACCAATTAATATCGAAAACAAAATAACAACCTTAAAAAAATGAAAGTAAAAATATAAAAACATAATAAAACAATTACATTGATAGTACCCTGGAGTACTGGTGTACCCCATAAGCAGCGTGCTAAGTTTTGTGGCTAGCAGGACTGTTAACCAACTAAAGCAGCCAAGCTTCAAACTAAGCACAAATGACCTCGAGACCATCTCTGTGGCTCTAGTCAGAAATCGCGTAACTCGAAGTATAGCACTATTCGTTTTGCGCTACTTCTTTCCTTACCTTAAAACAAGGTAGATATCAAACGTCTGCAATTAACAAAATATTTCTTTAATATAATATACATTAAGATAAAGTATTTTTTTAATTAGCAAAGATATATTTCCCAAATTCGGTTTCTCTTCAATAATACTAAATAAGTTTTAAATCGAGTTAGATCATTTTAAGATTACATTTCTAAATTTAAATTAATTTCCAAAATTAAGTAATAAACAAAACATTAGAAAATTTACGAAGTACAATTTTTCTTTTTAAATAAAATAGTTCTTTAGTTCCTCTAATATGTAAAAAAATTGAATTAAATCCTTTCTCATAGAACTTGTATTCTTTATACGATTCGGAGAACCTCGAGACTATTTCTGTCCCTCTAGTCAGAAAACACGTAACTCGAAGTATGGCATTATTCGTTTTACGCTACTGTTCGTACCTTAAAAACAACGTTAATTAAGAAAATATTTCTTTAATATAACGTATATTAAGGTAAAGTTATTTTTGCATTAGCAAAGATATATTTCTCTAATTCGGTTTTTCTTCAATAATACGAAATAAGTTCTAAATCGAGTTAGTATCATTTTCAGTTTTCAAGTAATATAACTACTGCGTTTCTTAATTTCAATAAATTATTTTCAAAAGTAAATTGTAAAAAGAATTATCTATATAATTTAATTAGAAAATATAAGAAGTAAAAGTTTTGCGTAAATAAAAATAGTTGTTTGTTTCCCCTGTTATGTAGAAGAATTTAATGAAATCCTTTCTCACAGAACTGTAGAAGGTAACTCTATATTAGAAATGTGAAAATTCCTAGCAATAATAGCGAGGTCAAAAACTGTTATTAACAATTATATAAACAGCGACCTACACGAATGTTAATTACGTGCTATACTGAGGTAAAATACAATTCAATTGCGTGAGTAGCAACTTACCGATCAGCGCCATCTAGTGCCAGTCCGAGCTTCTATTGTGGGTACTAGACAACTGATACTTAAATACATTTCGTTTCGTAAATATACATAACGTGCATAGAAAATATCTAGAACGATATAAATGTCACAATATAGTTGTAAATGAAATAATAGTCGGAATTTGATTTATATAGAAGTTCGGTTCCAGTAGCCGTGGTCGGGTAATCAAGATGAAGAGGAAACGCCACTATACATCCTATGTGGTTGTAGCCTACTTAAATATAAACAAAATATCTCCTTTGGAAAGTTTACATCCTATCCTTAGGAGATAAAAACCATAGCTCCAAAGAATGTCGTTCATTTTTTATACCCGATGGGTCTAGTAGTAGCTGACTCTGAAAAGGGCGAGCACAATAGATCTATGTAGGTCACAGTGCTACAGGTCTCAGCGCCTGACAATAGACTAAACCCCCAAAATGAGTGTTGTTACTATATCTATTAATTTGACAGGTTCACTGAAGGGTTTGTCGACATTCGAGAGAGGGAGCGGAAGGTCAAACGCGGCAGTCGAGAACAGGGTCGGCAGCTGATGAACCGGCATAACAATGAAGCCGGCAGACGGGTATGAAATACTTCTACTCTTATTTTAAACTAGTGCCTGCAACATCGTAAGCAGTGACGTAACTACAAGTCGGCAACATGTCAAGGACCCCAGCCGGAAGGGGCCGCTGAGAAGAATCCCTACTCCAACTTATATTATAAATATATTTATTGTATGATAATGGAATGGTGCAGCCGTCTGTGCTAACGGTATACGCTGGCTGGGCACTAGTGGAGGAGGATAAGATAAACATGAGGTCAGGTCGGATAGCCCATCGTGACAAATGCACCAGTAATTTATCATGATAATTTCCAGGGCCACCGCATGGAGATCAACCAGACATGGTACATTGGTCAACAAACCACATTAGTTACAATCCTCTTCCCCATTCTCAACATATATTACACATTTGTCTTTATCATCATCATCATCATCTGCTTCTTCCTTATCCCATTTATTTGGGGTCTTAATTTGTCTTTATAATGTGTTTAATTAATTTAAGTCACATACTTAGTTGCTATGTATTGTAATTACTTATTTTAAATAACATCTATTCAAAAGAGCAGCACACAAGTTTTTGCTTATATTTCTTGTGTGATATCTAAACAAACAAATAAAATTGAAGTGTATGTATATAATTTTAAATTACCAGTTTTTCACAAAGTATATACGGTACTTACATCAAAAATAATTTTAAAATGTTTTGTCTATCTGCGTTTTATACCTCCATATCCTGCAATTACACTGTCACTCTCTTCAAACCAACATATAGTTTACAAAGCATACGGAAATATGAAGATAAGTTCCTCACTCACACGTCTTTGCATAAAGTCTACTTCAGTACTGATAAATAAATATTTTATGGATCCTTAACAATTCACACAGTGTCATCTAATCCAAGATAAGCTGGTTTTTGTGTTATTTTAAATACATACGTATTATAATTAGAAAACACCCAGACCGATACAAACAATCATACTCATGAATAACAAATGTTTTCATAGTACGAGGAATCGAACCCACGACCACAAGTAAAGCGGTATGTTAAATCGCTAGACCACCGGGGCCGTCAAAATATTTAAATAAGTCGACCAGTAGTTCTCAGTTTAATAGTTTCCTGTTAACTACAAGAATTAAATCCGACTTATAAGAAATTAGTGGCAGCTGTAAATATTAAATGAGTAGTTAATCCATATTTAGAGGTCAGTTTATGGGATTAGTTCATTTATTTGTTGGGCCATAAATGCGGAGTTTCTTGAAGCTTCAAAAATATCTTATTTGTATAATTTGAATGGTAGGTGAGTGGTGACTGTCGTTTATGTAATTCTACGGACATCACGTTATCATGTTACGCCCGTGATATCACTCATGCGTTGCAATTCCGGAAGGTTAAGATGTCATGCTTTAGTTCTATAATTTAAACTTACCTGACAACCACAGATAACATAATATTAATAAGATATAATCCAACCATCCTGGGCCTGATCAGTTTTCACGTCCCAGGACTTGGAAAGCGTGATCGTAAATACAAATTATTTGCCCTGCCCTTGTGTAGAACCTTACATGCTGATCATGCACCACTCCCAACAGCACTCCGTCTGCTTAATGAGTTATCTACTATTTTTCCAATTGACTTATTTAATTGTACTACCACAGAGTGGCACAGTAATATAACTATAGATTATTAATATCATTGTAATTTGTATAGTTGCTGCTTTTCTTTTCTTTTTATTTTATTTCTTAGTTTTTTTTATTTTTATAACCTTATTGTTATTAAGACTATTATTATTAATGTATGTATTGCATACGTTTATTCCTTGGTGAGTGCATTGGTATTGTACTGTAATACTCACCGAGAGCATGTAATTTTATAAATAAATAAATAAAATTACATACTAATAACATACTCTCTTAAGATAGAGATTTAAAATAAAAACAGTATCTTAAAAGTAAGTATTTGATTTTTTGTTTGTAATGGAAAAACAAAATAAATAGTTGACTGGTTTTTTTTAATTCTTACAGACTGCCTCGGGATTATACTTGTAATGTTTAAAAATCGTGAACGCTCATGTAGTCAGGTCTTGAAATCGCTAATCTAATGGCTTTGCTCAACTACATATATCGATACATCTCTCAATATAATAAAACAGCACATAAATTCAGATTATATATCCATTGACATTTTGTGAGTAGGTATTAGTGTCACTACAAGGAAATCGCGGTTGCAGTGTCTCTATATCTCATAGTAAACCAGGGTTGCCAAAGTTAAAAGCCTCGTGCTGTCGGAAAGGGTGAGAATGTTTGTAAAAAATATTTTTTCTTTAATTGCATTTTAATTAATATCTTACAATAATAATGAATGTAAGGAACAACTTGTTCGGATGACAGTGGATGCCGGACTGGAAAATGGCTCGTTAGATGTCGCGACGTCGGTAATGCTTAGTTAACATTGGATATTACATAGGTTCAAGGGGAATAAGCACTAACATGCTACATGCACAGGGTTTATCAGTACGTAGAAATAAAAATCTGATAAAATCATTTTTATATCTACGTACTGTTGTATGTATTACATGTATACACACATATAATACATACAGTATTATATGTATATATATATATATATATATATATATATATATATATATATATATATATATATATATGTATATATATATATATATATTACATTTGCTATGTGTATTATCAGATTGTGATATAGTAAGCGATAAGTTCCAAATGAAATTGTTACATCTGTCACAATTGGCTGACTGACCTGACCTTATAGTGATCTTATCGTCCTCCACTGGTGCCCAATTTCCATTAGTTCACGATCGATGCATATAATAAAAAAGTGACTGATCGCTTTCTGTACATGAAAGATAATATTATGAAGGGCTTTTATCGACGTAAAATTGTTAGGATTCTTAGGTACTGTTTTCACTAATGTATCACCTAAACTTCAATTATATAATAAGTTTAATAAGTATTTAAGGTTTAATAAGTTATTTTTCAATTGGTACAAACAAAAAAGTTGGATAATTGAATCGGTTCAATACAATTGACTGTGTGTTACCAGGCTGTCATAAAGAAGTCGAGGGTTACTTGCAAATGTCACGGCGTGTCCGGATCTTGCAGTCTAATCACGTGCTGGCAACAACTGGCATCGCTACGGGAAATCGGTAAGGACTTTTTTCTATTTCTCTATAGGCAATCAATGATATAATTATTATCATCTCTATAGGCATCTATGATATATTATCCACTATTATTTGAAAAAAATTACGAGCTGAGTTTCTTGTCAGTTCTTCTCATCTCGATATCATTCCGAACTGACGGTAGATTTGACATATCATAAGAGTCTGTAATAGACCTACATGAATAAAGATATTTTGAATTTGAAAATTAAAAATTTACGTATTTAGTCAAAAGGAGTGAATGAATTAATTAATTAATGAAACTCTTTATGGTTTCTCTCACAGAAAATACAGTTACATACACAATTATACATATGCATATAATGATAAAAATGAAATAATAAACAAGACAAAGAGGTCACAAAGAGATACGACATTAGGCAAAAAGTTCAAGCCACAAAGCCCAGAATTGCTTGAACAGAAATTAAATGTCTAAGCCAGGCATTCCATGGACAAGATATGAGTTTATTCAATAAAATATTTATCTGTAACTAATCCAAAAGACAGCGGTACGCTCACCGCCTACTACATACGTAAATAACATGCTCAACGAAATGTGGGCCTGTTAAGTTTTATATTCACTGCAAAGTCGACAGTTGACATCTTTAATACTGTTGCGGGTGAATAATACGATGTTGCTGGTCGAGACGATGTATTTTACAGATGATTATAAACTGACAATGTATACATAGAAATAATGATCTTATATACTAAATAAAAATAGGAAAATGTAAGGTGGGGTGACACAGTTTAGATACAGCAGTGCCTAGTAGACAATATTGAATTTGTCTTACTAGACATTATTAAATGCATTTATTATTTTATGTATCTAGGTGACTGTGTCCCATAGATATTCCCCCCTTGAGAGAAAAAAAAAATATATATATATTACACACAAAAAAATTATAAAAGTTAACTGTAAAATTTAAGATATTATGCACTTTAGTAACAATAAAAATTCATTATACTCAAATAACGACGTAAATCTTCGACTGTCGTGGATTTAGGGTACTCGTCGATTGCTTGCCATTTTTCTTGCGTTGGTTTCATCCCTTGGCTCGTTATATGATAACCAAGAAAATCTAACTCATTTGTGAAGAACTCGCATTTGCTCATATTAATTGTTTGCGGCGAATAGTTTGAATTCGCTAGCGCTCTCTTTGGTCTGTGCTTGTGTTTTATTCACCGAGATTTTTGCTTTCAGTGTCCACCAAAATTCTATAGCCACTGTTAGAGTCGGTTATAGCTAGGCGGTTAGACGGATGAACAGCACAGCGTTCCGTCTTATTCTGCGTCGAATCTAGTTTTCCGACGGTTGTCTATAGGAGCGCGGCATGTCACGTTTGTATGCCTTTTCTTTATATTTGCGATGATATAATATAAATAATAGTCATTTTTCTGACTACGCAATGACCGTAGGTGCGAATTTGACCTAGATCGGTAGTTGCTGCGTCTGTTTGTGTGTGGCGAGCGCTTTTCGCGTATATCAGCAATTTCTGATCGCAGTGTCGCAATTAGTGACGACAGGTGTGCAATGACGTCGGCGGTGACTGTTGGCTGTACTTTTGTAGACAGCATTTTTGCTTTATTTTTCCAGTTTCAATTTTTCGTCCAGAGATTATATCCAGCAGGCAGTTGTGTTTACTGGGGGTCAGTAGCACGGCAGGATCCTTGTTGCGCAGTATTGCCAACGACTTTTATGCCTCTTGAATTTCCGAGCCGGTGAGACCCGCTTCTGGGAAGCCGGTGGAAATGTGCAATCGTTGGTGGTGCGCAGGATGCCGTCAGACAGAGATCTCTTGTTTGATCTCGTCGTTTTCCCAGGTATCGTCTCGACCACGTCGGCCAGATCACGTCGGGGTCACCACTGTTGCGGGTGAATAATAAGATGTTGCTGGTCGAGACGATGTATATTACAGATGATAATAAACTGACAATATGTACATAGAAATAATGATCTTATATACTAAATAAAAATAGGAAAATGTAAGGTGGGGTGACACAGTTTAGATACAGCAGTGCCTAGTAGACAATATTGAATTTGTCTTACTAGACATTATTAAATGCATTTATTATTTTATGTATCTAGGTGACTGTGTCCCATAAATACTAATACCACTAATACTTAGTATTAACTGTTGTATGTACTACATCATACACGCGTAGCTCATACAGCTATAACGCCCTCGACGTCCTACTTCAGTACAGTACAGTATTAAGAATCTGTGGCAATATTTGTTTGCGCGGGAAAAAAATATAATTAATATATATAACTATAATTCTTCCAAATTTTTCTTCTATAGACATACTTTTTTATTGTATTCTTTTATTGTATCTTTTTTATTTAGGGACTTTTGTCCATCTATACATATTAGATGTTAAGTTACGATGAGACTGACAGTCAGTGTCATCGTATCTTAATCTTAATATAATCGCTAGTGTAAACCGTTAGCGCAAGCTCTACTCGCCCATTCCGTTATCCTTACTAATATTATAAATGTGAAAGTAGGGTTGTTCGTTACGCTTTCACGCAAAAACTACTGAACCGATCGTCATGAAATTTTGTACACGTTCTTGGAGGTATTAGAATGAACATAGGATACTTTATATTTAAAAAATAATAAATATTTTTTATTTAATTGATTCAGTGCGAACGAAGTCGCGGATAAAAGCTAGTCATACATAAAAAAATATTACTCAACTTAAGAAACTCTTTAAAAATGTAGATAACAAAACCTATTAACCCATTAAATTGATATCAAACATTTCTTTAAAGATCTACTGTTAATTTCTTATTGCGACATTGCTTTGACTTGATTATGTCGCGTTCATGAATAGCTAATTTTATTTATGGCTCTATACAGCTTATTAAAGAGGTTACATGTTGTTTACGAGCTAAGAACTACCTCAGTGTAGGGATTATACGATAGTGTATGATAAACATCGATAAACGATGTTTTCCCGTAATTAGAATATCATACAACCTGACGGCACACTTGAATGGCAACTGCTGAGACATGAATAGCACTACGGAGATAACTACGGACCGGCTTGCCATTCCGGAGGATCAAGATCTGATCCCTGTTATCCTGTAATTTCACTGTCTTATCTCACACTTTATCGGAAACACATTTTACAAAGGCAGCTGTTTGGCAGCTGAAATATGGTGAGACTGAGGTACCCACGCAAACGACTTTTTGCAAAGTCTATATCATAATATAGTCGATATCATAATATCATATAGGTAGTCGATATAACTGCAATCGACAAAATTAGGTAAGAATCCAAAAAGGTTCCTATAAAAAAGGGTCATTCCAAAAACAAAATATTGATAAATCAATAGATCCTTGATAGTTGGTAAGCTAAAGACAAGGTAAATCGCTAAAATAATAACAATAATCACAATAATTTACACAGCGCCATCTAGTGCCCAGCTAAGCTTGTGTTATGGAGAATTCTCTAAGGGATGTTTTCTGACATCGATATTTTTCAATCAATATTTAACACACATCGATACTCATAGTCGGTGTTTTTCTAATTTCGATCATCACTACCTCAGTGTTGCTATTAGAACAAAATAAAATTCTGAATCTTTTAATTTATTATACGTAACATTAATTTTTATTACTCTATATTTGAATGTTTCTCATTTCTTGGGTGGTGGAGAAATGGGGGTAGCGGGTAAGGTAAGTGGACTGTATGGAATTGAAATAAAGGGGGCGCACAGTACGTACCTGCGACTGTAGAGCGGGTTTATTCTTGCACAGCTGCTGCACTCGATGAATACTAAGTTTAACACAGGCACGCACACAAAGTTACTTATTGTTAATGTCAATATTATATTAATTAATTTAAAGCGGAGCGGTTGGGACGAGATGTCACCATTCACGTTAGTAGACGAGGTCGTCGGGCGACCTCAGTTGACATACTGTGCGCGGGAAAGGGATTAGGATATGGGGAATAATACCATACCACTTGATATGTTTATAAATGGCGCGAACATCCTCCCCCGCCTTGAGAAACACTCAAAGAAAATACAAAGAAGAGCAATATATGATGTACATATATATATATATAATATACTTATAATTAGTTATAGAGCGTAATATAATAAGAAAAACTTAATAGAATACACCTAGCGGTAAATAATAAGTAAATGCGGTTTATAAGAAAAATAGAGTTTATTGAGAAGGTAAAGGGCTTAATTTAACGATTGGTCGCTTGAGCAAACCATTTTGAGTTTTAACAGATGCTAAGCGAGCAATACCATCTGAGTCTGGATATATTTTCACAATGATACCCATTGGCCACCGCAGTGGTGAGACGTTATCATCATGTATAAGCACTACAGTACCAACTTTAACATTGTCTGTATTCTTAAACCACCGTTGGTGAATTAAAGAACGAAGAAGAATGGCACCTGTGTGACAGTTAACGCGGTGGAAATGATCTATTATTAAGTAAGTAATATGGTCGCGCTTAGGCAATAAAACGGGATGTTTTGCCTCGAAAGGTAAGTTAGCATTTAATAATCTACCTATCCTAATTATATAATCAATAAAAAGATCTAATTTACGCAGAGTTCCAGTAGGTAAATTACCCTTTTTAAGATCACTAATAACATGAGAAAAATGAGCGACCTCAATTGCTGTAAGTATATATTTTTCAGCGATATTTAAATGAGCGGTTTCAATATATTTAGAGCGGGGCAATACGCGTATAAATCGCAGTATATAAATAGTAATTCGTAATGATTTGTTCCAGGATGAAACTTTAGATGCAAGATCACAAAGCGGTGAGACTACAGTATTGGAAGCAGCTGTAACGAACGTCTTAGTATTATATTCAGGTAAGTTTTCATATTTTTCAGGTGTAAATGACTCTACCGGCCAAGAGCAGACGGGGCTACTCAGCCACGCGGGACCGTTCCACCACAACTCATGGGTAAGTAATTGTTTAGGCAGTAAACCTCTTGAAAGACAGTC